TAGAGCTTTGAACAATACGGCGCAAAGGAAGCGTGATTGTCCTACTGGTGGCATGGAAAAAGAAGTTATTAGAGCGGGTGAGTAATCAAGGATTTTTTGTTATTGTACAGTAAGCGAAAGCTAATAATGCTCTCGTAAAGTTGTGTTTCTACAGTGACATGCCTTAGTAATAATCCGCAACGAATGAGTGCTTTCCTGCTTTCTTATAAGAATCATGTGATTATCACCTGTACTGGACCATCATACTGAACTATACTTCACGATGACATAATTATTTCCAAACTTTACCGTCAGACCTCACACGCGCCTTTCCATGGAACCTGGATTCTAGAACTCCAAACATTCGGAAGCATGTGCAGAATTGCAATACAGATGGCAGGGAAAAAGAAAAAGCGATTGAAGCGCTCGATGAGGATAATTCCGGTGAGTAATTATTATTTATTTCGGGGCGGCGGTGGCTACTCCCAGAAAAATTGGGTGGGGCTGTGTACCTGCTTCCTGAAACCCTTACTTTACTTCAGACCAAACTCTGTGATTTTCCCTACCCTATTTCAGACCTGACCAAAAATTTGCTATCCTATTTCAGCGTGATAGTGGCGTGTGACAAACTGTTACACGGTTGGCGTAATGATTTGAGAAGGGCTTTTGTTGATGGTCTTATCGCCTAATGATGAAAAAGCAGCTAAACGAAGAAGCAATTGTTATTGACCTTCACTATAGACCAGTATTTCGCGACGAATTCGAAAGCGGCCTTATTGTCTTATTGTCTCTGCTCTGACCTGTGTCCCCTAGGTGAAGGGAATTTCCCTGGTACATTGTGCATTGTAATCAGAATTTATATCTTTGGTTGGCGCTTTGGTGAAAAGATTCAAATTAGAGGGTAAGTCAAAAGAAACGTTCTCAAATAAATTCATTTGTTATGAGGTGTAGATGGGAGTCATTCAATTTTCACTAAACATTTTTTTGGGGAAGGGTTTTTTTTTGTTTAGAGTGAGAGATGATTCGCGACTCTCACGATTAAAACCTTTCGGAAGCTGATCAGCTTCTGGTATTTTAAAATTCTCTCACGAAAACATCTAATCCCAGCGGGACCGATCAATGAAAACCGATAATTGATATAATCGATATCAATCAATATAATCGATAACAATTAATCGATTAATATCAGAAGTTCGGGTAATAGCGGCACCACGATGGAGAAAGCGGTATTCTAGACTTAATCATGCTGTTATCATACATAAGTCGATTAGTAGAACACACGTTACTATAATCATACAGGGCTTGAGCAATAGTACTTGATTTTCCCGTCAGAACTGGAGAGTAAATGTACCGATCGATGGAAGCTGGATTCTAGAACTTTAAACAGCCAGGAGCAAGAAGAAAACGTGATTGAAAGCTCAATGAGCAGTGAGCTCAGTGAACTTAGTGTGCGAAGTGACGATGATGCTGGTGAGTAATTATTTATTTACGGTCTTGTGATAAAAAAAAAATCCATTGCTCCGAGAGAGGCGGCTAAACCGATCAAACATGTTCTTTCAACACGATGAACCAGGATGGAAATGTTGGATCGTTTAGCTGGGGCTTTAGTTCAGTGACTCCCAGCAACATCCAATAAAACCCGGTGAAACTGTTTGTGTGTCTGCTTAGGTGATGGAAATATGGTATTATAATGACCATAATATTAAAGTGTTATAGACCCAGTACTGTTCGATGATGATGATAATGATAATGATGACGATGATGATAATGATAATGATGAAGATGATGATGATGATGATGATAACGATAATGATAATGATGATGATGATATAAAGATAATATTAATGAAGTAAATTATGCTTTTTAAAATTAAAGCTCAACCCATGAAGGGAAATTTAAAAGAAGAACCCAGTTATTAAAATATTGACCCATTTAGGTGACATGAGCCTTGATCAGCTGGAGCACAAACACCAGGAAGTGTTTGATTGGGTGTGTCTCAAGCTTGACAATGGAAGACGGTGGTTCAGGCGAGACTACGAACGGCTTGCTTGCAAATACAAGAAGATTACACCGGAACAACGCTTGGACTTACATGATGAGCTCCAAAACGAAGGAAATCCTTCCAAACTGTTAATGAGCCTGCTCCAGACAAAATACCGATTCCTTCCCCTGAGTCAATTTGTTAAGACATTGAAAGAAATTGGACGGAAAGACATCGCTCAGAAACTAACGCCATATGTAACGCACAACACCAGTAACTAACTTGTTCATTAAACCGTGAGCTCCATGTTGCGAAGACAAAAGAGTAAACGAGTCTATTGACAATGGAAAATGGCAGTACATGCAGCATAATCCAGCAAAGCCACCTGAAGCATCTCAAACGCGTAAGGGATTCAATTAAGGAGGCTCGAAAGGGTTCTTTGACCGCGCGAAGAACAGTTCCCAATGTACACGCAAGCAAATTACCCGCGAGAAAATCGCGCAATATCGCGCGCGATAGCATGCGTGTGCGAGTTGTAAACAAACATGGCCGCCTCGAGCAACTTAAAAATGCCGGGTCCCTTTTCTGTTTTCGATGAAAGTGTTGTTTATAGAAGAAAAAATGGGAAATTTCCATCTCAGAAACAGTCAGAAAAGAGCTCAAGTGGCACAAAGCTGGCCGAAAAGAAACAAGGCGTATGTATAATACATACATGAATATTTTCATCAGCTCAAGTTAACAATTCAAGTTACTGACAGGAATAAGCTGGGTTTATGTATTGT